TGGTGAAAATGAACCCATCACACAAACAAAGGCAAAGACAATAATAAAAATTCGGTAAGCACAATGGCGCCAGCCATTATGAGCTAACAAATAATATATATATATATATTATATACTAACAACAATTTGCGAATATAAATAATGCCTACAGTTTATCTGAATATCACAGCAATCCGTTACTTTGTAGATCAGAGCCATCCTCGTAGAAGTGATATTTCTTCTGAGACATAATAACATCAAGATTAAGGGCAAATGGGGCGACACCAAAAAGAAAATTAAGAACTTGAAAGTTCATTACTTTTCAAGCAGATCAGTCTGTTAAGGGTACTTTGTAACAAATCCAGATCCATAGATATGAGATATTATTAAAACAGTTGTATTCAATCTCATCTACGTTGATTAAAATGTGTAATATTTTTAGAGAACACAGTATTCGACGTAAACTTGTTTACGTGGCTGTAATATTACTGTGAACCTCAGAACTGAACACTGAAATCAGAATATTGGAAAAATGTATAGCCTATAAGGGAAGTAAAATGTTCATTAACTTCAAAACATTTTAAATCTGCTGCGTGAACAGATTAACATTTCGAATCATAATAATAAAAATTTTACCGTATATTTTTCGCATAAAAATCCGTCATTACAGTAAAAAAATGGATATCATATTATGTAAAAGCATTTTGCTTTCAAGGTACGTAATTTGGCTATTAAAAGCACAAAATTGCTTAACACTGGAAAGTTATCTTTCCATAAACAACATAGTGTTATGTTGTAAACTATACTCTAAGCCACTAACATCAATTTAAATGATTTTTCAGCGGCCATAAGACGATGTTATAACATCATAGTACATTCATTTCCAGGTTAAAATCTATATACACGCCAACACTACACATATTGTCGTGACATATAGCCAATATTGCATATCAGTTAATTAACTTCCAATACACTAATCAGTAATATCATGATTATCATATATCAGCCATCATTCATTGAAATTTATGTCCCCCCACCCACCCACAATATCCAGCAGTATTGATATAGAATGTTACTTTGATTTGTCTTCTGAACCCTAGACCATTATTAGAGATAATTTTGAATAATCGTTGTAATATGAACACTCATTTGCCCTGTTTATGTTGCAATGTTTAGTTGAATGACAATTACGGTCCTCTTCACAACACAGAAATTTTGAAGACGTTATAAGAAAATGGCATCTCATTTCTTATTAATAATCGCCATATAATCCCTGCAGTTTATACGATACTCTTGAATATACGAGCCCTAAGAATAATTCTTTTTATTTTAAAATTTTTATTTTACAATC